AATAATTTCACTTTCAGAAGGAAGAAGGAAAAATGTTACGTAGGAGATAATTTCATTGCTAAAAGCAAAAAGGATACGATTGGTAACACTAAGCTTGAAATATACTATATGCATCAAATTATATCAATTGCTATAAAATAGTTATCAGAGTTTTATGAAACATAAATATGCTTTTATTTTCTGAGAGAATTTACATGTCTAATGTACTTTCATACTCACTTTTTTTTTTGTTTTAAGGGAACATGAGATTTTCTACAAAATTTTTAGATAATAGAATATTTTTAGTTTTATTTATCTAGCAAAATAATAAAAAAGAACACATTTACTGGAAACTCATTTATCTTGCAAAACATGGTTAAAAGGAGAGCTGTGCAGAGCAAAAAGACAATATCTGAGCAACAGCTAATAACATGACTTCTAAGTAGAGTAGTAAATTTTTAAAATGAGAAAAAAATAAATAAACTGAAGTGCTCCCATAATATATGTGCAATCAGAGATTTGTCAAACCCAACACTGTCTAGTTGTTGCTATAACAACGACCATTGTCTAATGAACATCTAGAAACGGGAGAAAACTATTAAATTTATTCAAAAATAGAAAGAGCATTTCAAGATCAATAGTTTAAAAAGCATTAAAACAGAACACACTTGTAAATTGAACAGATTTGTACTAGGTATGATTAAACTGTAGTTACTAATGAGCATTTACTTCAGCACTCACAGTTTTGTGTACATTTTTGACTTGAGGCGTATTTGGACAGAGGTTCATGAATCCTTTTCCATTCTGGCCTTCATAGGACATGGGTCTACACAGAGGGTGCTCCCAGGCACTGGTCTATACAGAGAGTGCTCCCAGACACAATTCTACAGAGAGGGCTCACAGACATGGGTCTACACGGAGTGCCTGTGGACACTGGTCTTAAGTTCATTACACAGCGTCACACAGAGACTCTAGAGGCAGACACCGGACCACAATGACCATAATGCATTAAGGAAAAAAAGGTGAAAGGTAGCATACGAAAGATAATATACCAAAATTCAAACAGTGGTTATGTAGGAGTCATAAATAAATTAAAAAAAAGATAGCAAGAATACTATCCATAAGGGGAAAGGACAAAAAAAGCTGCTTCTGGCATTTTCTCTGGTGCAAAATAGTGCTCCCATGGGGAGTTCATTAACATACTCACTTGGCCTTGAAGTTCCAATGCTTTATGGTCAGGAAGAATCTCAGCAATAATTATAATGTACTGACTCCTATCGGTGAGTCATCTATTCTCTTTCCCTCCGTTAAGTGTCACTCAGGTTACCGATCAGAATGGAGATGCTTTCTGGTCAAGGTTGACATAAGGAAACTGACACATGGGCATCCTGATTCGGATTTCCAGATGAAAATAGATAAAGATCAAGCAAGATTCTGGCGGTTTCAGCTGAAGGAAGTCTAGATGTGGGGGAGGGTGCCAGTCCCAGGGGTAGGTATGTGATGTGGTGTTGAGCTTCCTAATGCTCCCTGATTTACTTAGGAATAAACCTCAAGTTTGCTCTTCACTTGCCTCCTCTCTGACATAACCTAGACTTGGTCCAAGACTTGGCTGTTACTATGCAAGAGTTACTTAGCTTAATGTGGTCAATAGCTGATACTCTAAGATCCATAGCAGGCCACAAATGAGAGAAAAGAACAACTATAAGTTAAGCTGGTGCATGCGACTTCAGTTGGGTTGTACAAACCTGATTTGGATTTTCTTCTGTAATAGCTACCAATGGCAATTAGTGAACCAGAAGTTAAGCATCAACTTTCTACATGTTAGCAATTAAACTCAAGGGTGGATTTTTACATGACCATTTAGATTTTTGTGTCTGTAGAATAATAGGTAAATTGGCATCCCCTTTTTCAATTTGCAACATTAAGATATACGTGTGCTTTTTACTTAAATTCTCTTTCCCCCAAAATAATAACTTTTTATTAAAAGTTTAATAGCACAGAATTCAATAACTATTTAAATGTGTTATGGAATGTCTTTTTAAAAATAATTTTGTTCACATTTATTTACCTCTCCCATTTTTTACCCCTTTATGATCATTTTTTAAAATACAAATTTAACCCAAAGCTAAAAATGTCAATTACACTTTATTTAAATGTGATTATGGATATAATATTCTTATCAGATTCATTTGGAAAGAAAAAAACCTTTGGTCCACAAGTCACAAACTCAAATGCCTACAGGGGCCAGTTAGGTAATCCTCTAAAAAAGGAAAAAAGAGGAAAATCCTGTAAAAAGGAAAAACCCCAGAGGTGAGCTGGGACAATGAGGGATGGTGGGCTGTGGTGATGAGGGTGGTGGGCTATAGCGGTGAGGGGTAGTGGGGTCACGGCGACCCGGAGTACACCAGATCGGCGAAAGGCAGCAGCCATAACTCAGCCCTAGCCAACTGCAAGTCCAGTGCTACCAAATCTGATTCTTTAAGACAAAGTCCAGTTTTGTGTGTGTGGTCCAATTTTTAAACATGGGAAATTAATTCATATTCTTTAAAAGCATTGTTTGAGCCAAAGAAAACACAGCAGTGGCTAGATCTGGTGTGCAGGCCAGAGTATGTGAACTCTGACCTAGTCCGCAAATGAAAATTTCATCAATTTTCATTTCCTGCACATTCAATTTATCGTTTAACCTCTATGATCTGAAGGGAAACCAGGGTGTATGTTTATAATATCGGAAAGTAGAAGACAAAGTAGTAAAGAAAACTCTTTTATAAAAAAATAACCCATGACATGAAAAGAACATATTTATATAATAATGCTACAGATCCTCACATATAAATAAATAGCTTGTGGTTTCTGACCACTTATAATGGCAACTTTATCGTACTGCTGAAAGCGAACCACAAAAGCACTTGCATGTCAGTCACAATCAAGCTTCAAACATGGGGACACATTGAGCGTGCTCACAGCCTCAAGCAACTCTAAAGGTATTGAGGTACCTACTGCTCCATAATCATCACTCCCTGTTAGCTGTAGAATTGTGGGGAAAAAGTATGTCAATTACAATGGATTCCATGGAGGTAGGATTTGAAGATCTGAGGATGTGACAATTTGAAAAATGTCTCTATAAGGAGAGAAAAGTTGTCCTACCATCTACATTGGCAGGGATAAGTGTTGAGTAATTCATCTCAAATTTAAAAAATTGCTATTGTCATTTACTGAAGATAATGAAGAAACTGTTCGTAATTTGCATAATTTCAAATGAGGAAATTTACCAGGATTAAGAACAATAATCCTTTCCTACATTTTTCTTGACACACATTAGTGATTAAACTTGAAAAGACTACAAGTAAAAATGCTATCACAGACAAGATTAATTCCATATTATAAATTTAATAGTGCATTACTTCATCATTAGCAATTTCTTTAGAACTACTTTGTGGTGTTCTTGAAAAATAAGGATGAGTGGAAAAGATGGTTCAAGTCAAGTTTTTAGGTTTTAGGAATGCTTTCAGCTGCGAGTGCTTGAGCAGACATAAAACGAGAACTTCAGAGTTTTATCCACACATTTTAATCTAGGCCGGTTCTGGGACAGATGTACTAAAGCAGACGACCCAGCAAGCCACTGAGAAAAGGGGTATTTTCTGCAATTTCCAACGTTAAAATAAGTGTCCATGTGTAGTGTCACTCTCACAGGCAGCCCATGAGGTTTTAGAGTTCCAGTGACTTCATCCAGGCTGGCACCAGGCATAGGGCTCTAAAGGACTGAGAGAATTCGTAGCAGCTAAGTCTGTGTAACACTACAGGTCACCCACTCATTCGTCTGTTTATGTTTCCTTTCATTTGTTTCTAATAAAAATCTTGGAGACCAAAGTTTCTGTTTGAGATGACTCCTCTGGAATTCCAAAAGGCCTCACCAGGCCTTTCTGGCCATGCTATGACCATCGTCTAATGGATTACAGACACATTTCAGCTTACAGCTTTGTAATAGCATGACAGAAATACACGAAACAACATATATTCCACATCACGAATTTCAATTTGAGCAAAGGCTGGCATGTTAGGAAAAATTAGAGATGGAAAAGACTTCAGTCATACGTCTTATTCTCCCCTCATTTTCTCAGTGCAGTTAGTTCTCCAAACTTAATCCAAATTAGCCCAGTAACAGGGTGACTACTTCTCTTAGGAAATTATGCCAGGGCCAAGGAGGCCTCACTGCTATTAATTTTATCATTCCATATAAAATTCCAAGTATTCAATCTCATATAATTTATCTCAAATTTAATTTTCTTATTACTCACTTCTATTCAGCTAGGCAATAGTTAAGTAAAATAACAAGTTTATGTGTCTCATGCAGTACCTGGCAGAATGGCTTCAATATTAGTTTCTTACCTTTAACTATTTCTAAAGTATTGCCTGAATTTAACTTGGAAAAAGGTGATATATTCTCTGAACTCAATTTTCTAATTACTTTAAATCAACATACTCAGAGGCATAGAACTGGAAGATGTCATTGGTGCTTCCATCATGTTGTATTTTCCCCCCTCTCCCTGTCCCTGCAACAATCTCCCTCATATCCCACTCCCTTGACACCCCTAGACAAGTTAATTTTATAGTGAGTAAGGTCCACCATGAATCTCCTTAATGCTATGTTGCTACAATTCTTTGGAGGGTTGATAACTTCGTTATTTGTAATCATCTCTCAAGACTTAGTCATAGCATAGATCACAGCCATGGGGATGACCAAAGAAAGGAAAACATTAAATGTAAGGCCACACTTTGTAGATGCACAAATGACAAGCTTATAAATCTTTAAGTATTTACAAGAGTGAATATTCATGTGTTCCATGCAATGAAATGTTTAACCATTGTGCTGCATCAGGAATTGAAATCTTTTAAGCAAGTGTTTTTCTCTTCCAACACCCTAGAACAGAACATCCTATCCTTGTTTTATCAAAACTCAAATTCAAACCAATTCTACAAGGCTGTATGGTGTGACTCCCCTGTGCCATGCTCTCCTGGAGAAACCAGACAGCAGGCAACCAGACACATAGAGTCCCCAGTCTCCTGGGTCTCAGTTGAGTGGTGAGGATGGACATTAAAGAGGTCATTGTGAGCATTATGAGAGATGATGAAGGGGAAATATAGGGTCAGAGCTGCTGTGTGCGGTTGAGCAGGTTATGCAGTGAACAAAAACACAACATCTGAGAGGGCACCACCCACATCTCAGATCTTGTCAATTTGTGTATTTCTCAGGACAATTTTCTGACGGATGGAACCAGAGTGTCCTGCTCCAATAAAATCATTGTATTACAACAATTTGCAGGCAGATAGAAATAAAGTATCGTGAGGAAGGCTGCCTTTTTCTAATTCACAAAAAGGCACCACATAGGCGATAGGAGGGCCCATGTAGGGTGCTAAGGGAGCAGAGAATAAGCCTGTTTAATTTAGTCTAGGAACCAAGATAGGTTTCCTGAGGAAGAGGGTTTACCTGGGACAGGAAGAATTAGCAGTAGTTTAAAATTTTATTACAAACTCCACAGAATATCTAACATTTCTTTTTACTAGATTTCTGGTATAATAAATAGTTTCTCAGAAAACACATTCTCAAATTGCAGTTAGACCTGAAAGAAAGCTGCCCTTCGGCCTCTCTGAAGTTCATTAGAAGTGAACAGGAGTGCTACGAAGCCAGAGCAAGAAGACAGCAAGTTGCACACACATCTTAGACTGCTATGCTTTTCCTCGGACAAACTCCTATGTCTGTTTTTTAAATATATTTTGTCTTGGTGGGTTATTTGGAAATTCTGGTATTTTCCAACGTTTTTCGGTAGGTAATATGTAGAGGAGTCAAAGGGGAGTCATTGCTGCTTAATGACTGAACAAATGAGCTGTGAGGATCCTATTTTTCTGCTCCCTGAAAACTAACCATTGCATGGATAAGAACAATAAAAAGCATCTCCTGAATTGGTTCATCCATTTTAGAGAATTTAACCATGAGCTGTCTTTGCAGGCATGGAAGTAAACCTTGTGTAATTTGTTTCTGTGTAATAATAATAATTATTATAAATTGCAGTGACAATTGCTAGTGTTGTCACTGTGTCAAATACTGTATTAGGTATCCAATACTGTTCTTAGGTGTTTGTGTTTACTTAATTCTTCCCCACGACAACCTCTGAGGTAGGGGCTATTTTTATCCCCATTTTACAGATTAGGAATCTGAGGCATAAACAAGTGTGCCTGAGGTCACAGAGCTTTCCAGCGGCAGGACTGGGATTTGAACCCTGGTAGTGTTGCCCTACAGCTGGTGCTCTTGACCATTCTACTGCCCTGTCATACTGGGGCAAGTATCCAGCCTAGGCTCTAGAGGAAATTGAAACACCATCCATTAAGCTTTCTTAATTAATGGAAACACAAACACAAGTCAACATCTAGAATTAGCCACATCGCCAGTATATCTAGCATATTAGTCAGAATAAGCTTTGGGACCTGTATTCATTGAGAAAGACCTTCAGTGAGAAACATAGGGTAAAAGCACAAGGTGACATAAGGATCTGAGGGCTCTGACACTCTGGCTCAAAAAGCTGGACCCACACCAGGCATCAGATCCACCTACGCACCAGGATCAATCCCCATTATCCAATCCCCGCTGCCAGGCACAGGCGAGTCATCTGTCCTTCGTCTCTAGCATGCTGTGACTGCTTGTGAGCATTGCCTTAAGAATTTCCTAAAGGGTTTTCTGCAGAACTGTTGTCCGTTGAGATGCTTCCTATCAAAGAATCTTGTGGGCAATAGGTTTGGGAAACCTGGCCTACTGCATCTGCCTCTGACTGACAGCGTGCACGGGCTCATCCCAGGCCCCGAGAAGCCTTACACTAATGATACCTGTGGAGCTTTTAAACTGATATTTGAGACGCTTGTTTGATTATGGAATTCTTTGTTTCTTAGAATACCTGTGAAATCACCAGTGCTTGAGAAATGCTGCCTCAAGGCGCGCATGTCAGGGAGGAGCAGCAGGACACACAGAGAGACTGAAGGAAAGGATCAAAGAAGACGGTTTGAGGTGGGAATGTGGGTAGAGTGCAAACTGAAATATCCTTATGCTTAGCATAGTGCTTCTTACGTACTAGTCCTAAAAAAATCTGTTCAGTTGATGCGTACAAGGGGAGCAGGAATTCTGATTATGGTCTGACATATTAGCAGTCTTTTGTGTAGTAAGAGTACACATGATTACCCACACAGTGTCTCCTTACTTCTGGGAAGGACTAAAGGATCACCGTGTCTTGGTATGAACCAGACCACCTATGGAGAGGTGGAAGATGGAAGAAAGTACCCTTCACTTGAACTTGAGAGCTAAAGTGTTTTTCAAGTGTTCTGAATTTTTTTTTTTTTGTGAGGAAGATCGGCCCTGGGCTAACATATCTGCCCATCTTCCTCCACTTTATATGGGAGGCCACCACAGCATGGTCTGACAAGCGGTGCGTCAGTGCGCGCCCGGGATCCGAATCGAGGCCACCAGCAGTGGAGCGCGCGCACTTAACCGCTAGGCCACCGGGCCAGCCCAGCTTTCTGAATTTTAATTTTCTTTTTTTTCTTATTTGAAAAGCAACAAACGACAGAGAAGAAAAGCCAGAAAAGAACACACAATCTTCCACGCAACATTGCAACTAACATTATCTTTCTTTTTTTTTTTTGTAAATTCAAAGGGAGGTTTTCTTTCTTTCTTGAAGCTCCCAAGAAATAATAGGGGGAAAAAAGTTTCAGCATAGAAAAGTGTGGACACTCTTCTGCCTCATCTGCAGACACAGCCATATGATATATCTGTTTTAAAAATACTTTCCCCTTTGCTTCAAGTTCTCTCGAGTTTCTAGAATCTGTATAAAGAATCTCAGGGTGGCAGGGGTTTGTTCTGGGGAAAATCCTCAATCCCCGGTGGTCCCTAATCCACCAAGACACCATAACCTCAATTCAGCTCAGGAGTGCTGTGGGAATATTAGTTACAGCATTTATCACTGTTTGCAAAGATTGTAAAGTAGGAAATGGTTTGTGTTTGAGGCTATAGGTTTACTTCTTTGAATCATTTTAAATGCACAGAGAGGGAGGTTGCTAAAAATGTTCTCAAGTTGAAACATTAAGTAAAGCCCATCTGTCAGGGCAGTGGGCTCAGAGCTTGAAGGTGGGCGGACTGGCCGCACAGGGGACTTGGGGCGGACAGGACGCTTTCTGAGGGGAAGGTGGGAAAACTTCAGCTTCCCATTATTAATGAGCTTCAAGCAAGTCATGCCAAGGTGAGCAGCTTCACAGGCAGCTTCACTGAGGGTCTGCAAGGGGTGTCAAGGCTGGCCCTCAACCTCGGGCCACTTCCCAATTCTCACATCAGGTCCCATGGGGCCTGGCTATATTTCATTTCTGTGAAATCTCTGATCTTTACAATAAATCCAGACATATCCCCCTTTCTTTGAGCTAGTTGGAGTAGCTGTCTTTTTCTTGTTCCCAGAAAAAAGATTTCCCAGGACCGGAAGACTGGAGATAAATGGAGAATTTCAACACAATGTGGTGTACTCAACCCTCCCCAGGTATCTGTTTGATATGCCCAGACACTTTTTTCTGTGACTATTTCATGGAAACGGAGCATAAAGCAGAATAGGAAAAAAAACCAAAGACCAGCTCTAAACATATAGCCATTACGAAGAATAATACCACATTTTCAGAACAATTGGGACCTATAGAGGTCCCAAGTTGACAATATAACTAGATCTTTTATCTGTTATTTCTCAGATTTTGAGAAGAAAAAAAAAAATCCAGAATGCCCGCGTATGTGGTATGGGTAATAAACAGAAGATAAGATATACTCAAACTGCTCATTTTACTGGAATGTTAAAAATGGCAAATGATTACATAAATTGTGTGCCTATAACAGTATGGCGATTTTAACCAAACAACATGTAGAAAGCTAAAAAAGTGTTCTTTGCTAAATATTCTACTATCATACATCATGAAAATATTTTAAGTAAACTATTTTGAACGATTAAGAAGGGGAAACTACTTTTAAAATAAAATTCTCTTTGAATATACATTATTTCAGTTTAAACTATGCTTTCTTTAAGAATATCATATGAAATTTAGGAGAAATGTTAAAATTGGGATATGTGAGCACATGTTATGCTTGATCTAGTCGTTACCAGACAATAACCATCAACTTGTTTCTATTTCAATGAAGGTTCCAAATTCACAGAAATTTAGAAACATGCTGTTTCCATAGCAGCAGATAAAGAGTACAACTAAAAAGATTTTATTGATTTTAACAAGGCTTAGAGAATTTGTTCTCCTTTTTACCAGCGATTTTTGCTCTTTTTTTTTTTTTTAGTCTTTGGCAACATCTCATATTTGCTTTCCTAAATGAATTTAGTAAATTGTATAAGTTTTGAAAGTAGGATAATTGTGACATTACTGTAAAATTACACATTCTTATAGTAATGTAGAGTAACCAATATTTAATTCTTAATGTAAAAGAGATGCTAAACTGTGGAGTCAAGATGGGGCATCAAAGACTCTCACTACGTGTAATGTCAGTTTAACATACGAATAAAACACGACATTGTACTACAAACGCTTTTAGATAATTCATTAGTGATTAAAAAGCACAGTTTAACATTTGCTGTTACTGTTAATCTATTATGACTCAAACACTGGGAATCAGGCTTTTAAACATAAATGTTATAGCTACAAAACGCAAGTTTCTTCATGGTTAATGTGGCAGTGTGAGAGTAGATAACTGAAATTAGTAGTATAATTGTTTCAAGTTAATATGCTAAGAAAACAGGAAATAGACTTTCTTCTTTTGTGCATGTGTTGTTTAAGTTGTAGGTTTTTCACCAACTTTTCTGATTTCTTCAAATTTCTTTTTGTCAAAACACAGAAAAATGGCTCACCTGTAACAGACATACAGCCTAACGGAGCAATGAGAGTAATGGGGGCAAATCCGTAGGCTGCAAAGTTTCCCGTCTCTCCCACGGCCATCAGCACCACCCCAGCCCACCACAACACACTCTTGAAGTACGGCCTTGGGTGTTCTTGGTGTGCCAACTGAAGATGAGAATATTTCTGGAAGTAAATCAGAATGTAAATAAGAAAATATTTCTACCCAATTAAAACTTGCCTCGAAATTTTTGGTCCTATAAATTTGCATCACAGCTTTTAAATGTATTTGCAGATTATTATAGAGCAATTATTATGGTTTTATGTTTGTTCAAAACATATTAACAGCAAAAGCGACTCACATTGATAGAGCATTTTATAGTTTAAAGGGCCTTCTCACATACGAATGTTGCTTAATTCTCACGACAACTCTGTAAAATAAGTATTATTACTACTATCTAAAGATGAGGTGTATGTTAAGGAGTTAAATGACTTTTTAGCCCACTACGCCAGAACATTTCTTTTAGAATGTCAAAAAAGTCTAGGTGCCAAAATAAACATTAATGAAGTAAAGATAATAAATTACTAAAGAAAAACCTTTTGAAAAGGGATTCTCATTTATGAGTCTATGTAGTTACCACAATAAACATCGCAGGTCAGAATGCTTTCACAGCAGGGGGTGGGGGTTGGGGGACTCTTTTTTTATCTGGTTTGAGTATTTCTTTGTATTTGAAACATACAAATTCCTGAAAAACTGACCATTAAAACAAGCCCCATTTCCCTATTGATTTTACGATAACTGAACTTACTTCCCTATAAGATGTACAGTTCTAGATTACTTGAAAAAAATTTTTTAAAGAAAATAATAAAAGTTCTAAAAGAAAACATAGAACATTAAAAATTTTGGCTTATATCAAGATTATGAACCTCTTTCTAAGTGTGGTACAAATTCATAAGCCACCTAGACACCTTGTCTAGGGTACACAATACTATTAAGAGGTCCACATAAACATTTAATTTCTTTTAAAATCAGAAGAACAAAAATAAATGAATGTAATCCAGCCTGGATTATATTTGTCTTTATACCAATGAGGTCATAAAATACAATTTTTGAATATTTTTTATGGAGGAAGGAGCCCAAGAAGGCACAAGTTCCTGAGGCCCATTAAAGTCATAAGATGTTGCCGGATCAAACTACAGAGTTAGAAAAATAAGCTTCTTCTTACCTGAATATTTAGGGAAATGCTGATTACTAAATTTCCTAAAATGGCCAGCAAAACTCCAAGAAGGTGAATCTGTAAAAGAAAATGTTTTCTTTAAATGGTAATTTAAATGGTACTTATAAGATATTTACTGAAAAAAAACTAAAACAACAACAAAAAATTTAAGTCAATACATTCATTTGTTCATTCATTCAGCAAATATTTACTTAGCACCCATGTGCCAGAGTCATTTGGAATATGAATAATAGTTTTATTGGGATTAGTTTTTTACTTTAGTCAAATATTATTTTTTAGACCTAGCTCAGTCCTTTACCGAATTCTCTAGATATTTGCCTCATTCACTAAAACAAAGAAAATAGTCATCAGGTTCTGACTTTTTCCCATTAAGATGCTTCTTATTTATCCTTTCTGTCCATTTTCCTCAGCAAACCCTCTGATTGGGGTGTTCATGGCCTCAAGTACGGACTATATAATTTTTTCCCATCTGGTCTCCCTCTTTCCTTTCTCTTAATGTATTCTGGAAGACTATGGTATGAAAGAAAGATGATTGGTCTTGGAGTGAAAGGATGAATCTGAGATTCAGATCTGCCATTTTCTAATGGGTGACCTTGAGCAAGTTATTTCAGTTCGCTGGCCTCAGTAAACACGGATGTTGGATAAGATATTTCTGGAAATCCCTGTACCTCTAAAGTTCTATGATCTCCACTGGAGACAGACTAAATTGTTCCCCCACTCCCCTGGTCAAGAACCCACAATTCCTCTCTAGAGTCAACTACATCCAATATAAAACTACTATACCAGCTCCCCATATTCTGTCCTCATCCTGACCATCTAATTGTCTATGGCACAC